CTGTTTCTGGTGACTGGGTCCTTCAATCTCTGGGTTTTGAGAGAATTTCTTGCTTATGTTTGACGTTCTACGTAATTTTAATTTAAAATGGCTTGACAGTAAATAATGGTCACCTCGAGCGTTAGCACCTCTTTTCGCCTTGACATCTTGAGGGATGTCTTCCATTTTCTATTTATTGTGATGTGGTCAATCTGATTCTTTGTTTTCCGAGTTTAAAAAAACCATGTTTATTTATGCATGATATGTCTATATATTTTGAAATAGATCCTCCAATGATGAAATCGTTTTCCATACAGATATCGAAATTTCTCTCCATTGTCGTTCATCAATTTGCCAAGACCTTCATTTCCTATCACCCTTTTTCTTCCTTTGTTATTACCCTGGCCTCTCCGAAAGAGAGGTGACACCCTCGCCTCCCAGAAGAAGAAGTGATTACCTTCGCCTCTCTCTTCCTTTCCTATCACCCTCTTCTGAGTCCCTTGCCTCTCAGAAAGAGCTCTTAGAAGGAAAAGTGATTGCCCTCGCCTCTCTGAGAAGGAGAGATGATTACCCTCGCCCCTCGAAAAAAAAGACGTTTGTGTGTGTGTGTGTGTGTGTGTAGGTGCGTGTTGGTGTGTGTGTGTGTGTGGGGTGGGTGTGTGGATGTGTGTGTTTGTGTGGCGTTTGTACTTCCGCTCGCATAATTCAGGGGCGGATCCAGCCAGAGGGGGCGTGAATATGAGAAATGAGTTGGTGCTGATCGGAAATAATATGCAGATTTTAGAATGTTTATACTAAAATTACTTTGTAATTGTTAACTACACTATATTGAAACATTAAACAAATATGTACAAGACTTCTCAATTTTGCTACCATTTGTATGTATATAATAGGCCTACCAATGATAATGATAATGATGACAATGTTGTTGTTTACGGTGAGGATGAGTATTAAAAAATTATGATAATTTGATAATGATATAATGACATTACTATATAATTACATAATGTGACAGGGCAATTAACCTTTGATATGATATTTACCTATGTCTCACTTTAAAAATTAAACACTGTAAATAATTTAAGACATGTACAAAACAAGTAGTGACTTCCACTAGCGTTAAATAGTTTGTTGTTGGTCCAACATTAGAAACAATTTGTGTGCAGTGCTTGAGTGCGTAGAGGGCTGTGTATATTAAACGAGTCCTCTCACGTCCTATTTAGTGCGTGTTTCGTGATTAATATTTATCGAAGATGTCCAAACATGACACAATATTGGAAAAACCTGGGAAAGATTAAATAAAGCAGTAATTAGCCCATTAAGATTGTGGACATATTAAATAATAATTAACATTTAGTGCTTAATTAAGGAGTCATAATTATAGCCCCCAGTTTAAATTATTTATTTTCAAGATAGTAATTAAAAAGTATAAACAATTTATTTCGTTTGCTAGATTATACGAGTATTAATACATTGTGTCAAAATGGAGGATATTGTGTTGATGATATCAACAACTCTACCTGCATATGTGTTAACGGATATATCGGAACATATTGTGAAATCGGTAGGACCATATTTTACTACTGTGTACATAATATTATTCAAACAATATTTAGGACACTCTGTTATGTTTAGACTGAGTATAGTTCTTCACTGTAATATTCAGTTTATGTAGGTAAGATCTCACTCCTAGACTAAGAACAAGAAAAAATAAACAACTGACATTATCATTAGACTACTACAGTATGAACAAATTGTGTATCCAACCATTGTGAAAGTTGGGTATTATATCGTCATTGCGGACTTATAAAATCCGCATACGCTATAAAACTAAAAGAAAATGTATGCTTTTGGAGTCCGTACTGGGCCCAAAAAATCTGCAATGAAAATATAACGTGTTTTTTAAAAAGCCGGTCTCTCGATGTAATAGGTAAATAATAACTTATTTATATTACACTTAAAAAATAAGGTGTATATCATTAAAATTATAATGTACTCTTTCTCTTGCAGATAAAGAGGTACCGGTCATAACCTTTTGCCCACCAGATATACAGTTGTTGACCGGAATGACAACAAACACTGCTGCTGCCGCTTGGACTCCCGCCACCGCTGAAGATAACTCAGGTGTTCCTCCAAATATCGCAACAGATATTCAGCAACAAGACTTTTTGATGATTGGAAATTACCTTGTGTCAGTTACTGCGACAGATGGTTCAGGAAATACCAACACATCATGTTCCTTCAATATAAACGTTATAGGTAATTTATCAAATTTAGTTTTTTTTTAAATGCATTAGGAATTCTCCATCTGTTTATGGTCATACGTTATCGTTTGAGGATTCACATCTATAAATGCTGGCTTAAATGATATGTATAACATTATACTGTATATTTCTTTTTAAAGCACTGTTACACTCCTCATCATCTGGCGGTTTAAACCTGCACGAAACTTTAAACGAAACACTTAGGTGTTACTTTCTTGTGATTTTTCTTTCCCCAATCCGAGAAAGTATCGCGATCACATTTTAACTCCAGTGCATCATAAGACTCTGTGTAATTGTAGATAATACAATCATCTGCAAAGAGTTCAAAGTGCAATTATGTGTTCTTTCAAAGGTCATTTATGGGAATTACGAAAAACATTAGGCCTGTCACATTTCCCAAGTGGAGTCCCAAGATCGGATTCAGTGATTCATAATAACCATTTCACGCTAGAATTTGTGTTGTTCTGCCAATTGGAAAACAATCGTTAGATGACAGGGGGCCAAGGAGTCCCCTCCTGGAAACTGATTGTTTTCTAGATTCTTGGAAATGCACTTTTCTGCAATCTGAGACCTCTATAAGTGGATACATTATCAATCTTTGTTCTTTCCTACATTAGAATGGCAAACTGATGACGATGATGATTTTGATGATGATGATGATGACGACGACGAAGAAGATGACGACAAAGAGGATAAAGATTATAAAGATAATGATGAGAACGACGATTATTATTATTATTATTATTATTCACACGTACTGTGTATTCAGTACATTTCCACGTCAGGTAGGGCAAAATTACACCTATAAATATTATTATTATTATTATTATTATTATTATCATCATCATCATCATCATCATCATCATCATCATCATTATTATTACATAACTTTATCACTTATTTACTTTTAAAGGTAATAACGTTAATTCATTATCATCAGTGACTGATTACCAAATAGCAGTATACATTCTTTGTGTCTTCATTCTGTTGATGTCTCGATTATTTGTCTTCTTCTGCAGGTAGACTCTATTTTGTAATAATAAAATTCAATTAATTACAATATGTTTTATCATGGAACAGTAAAATTCCCTGGTTTTATCAACTTAAATGATAAGTTTATGTTGCTAATATGTCGGCATCGGCAGTGCCTAAAACAATATTCTTTTTTAAGAGTATTTTTGTTTAGAGTTTGTTATAGATGTGATATACAACCTATGGCAACATTATTGATTCACATCATAATTAATTTGAAAAAAAAGGTATTTTTAAACTATAGTAAATAAAAGTAATGTAAGATAAATTTAGCATAGATAAACCTGCATTATAAATAAATGTAACCAAAATTCTTTCAGAAAATAACATACAACAAAAGGCTGTTGAATAAAAGACAATAGTATTTTCTCCCTCATTCTAAGCGTTTATGAAGACAAGATATGATCTCTGTAGAAGTTCTTTTTAATCATGATAATTATGTAAAGTGAAACTTTAACTCGTTTTTCGGGATACTAGCCTATATAAATACAAAGATACAAATTGGTAAACTTATGAACAGAAAAATATATGTAAAGACGCAGAACAAAGCTAACTATTGATACGAAATGATTTAGTTTTTCTTTAATTTAGGTCATATTTTGTTAATAGCAAAAAGACAGACCCAGAGGTTCCAGAAATGAATGATTATATGACAACAGTGTAAATGTATCAACTTGTCTGCCAACTTCTAGCAATAATGATGCTGCCCCACAATTCATGAACTTACACAGGAGTGATAATACCCCTCAAGTTTATGATGAAATTTCAAATGCTAACACATATGAAGTACCTCTGCCAACCAGTGGTATTGACGATGATGTTGCACCCCAATCTATGGAAACGCAGTTGGTGAATCATGTTGCTGCAACACAATCTATGGAGAATCACAGGAGTGATCATACCCCTCAAGTTTATGATGAAATTTCAAATGCTAACACATATATGAAGTTCCTATGTCAACCAGTGGTACTGACGACGATGTTGCACCCCAATATATGGAAACGCAGTTGGTGAATCATGTTGCTGCAACACAATCTATGGAGAATCACAGGAGTGATAATACCCCTCATGTCTATGATGAAATTCAATATGTTAATACAGGATATCAAGTACCTCTGTCAACCGGTGGTAGCCTACTGACGACGATGTTGCATTCCAATCTATGGAAACACAGTTGGTGGATAATGTAGCGTTAAAACATCGTTACGGTAGATTACAGTTTGCTCTGGTAAGCTTTACAAATTTTATTAAATTTAATGACCATCTTTGTTCATATTTGATAGCGTATTACATTAAAAAACATTAAAATCAATATAAGATACAATGCTATGTTAAAATAATGCGTGAAACAACTACATGGTAGATTAGTTTAAAAGTATATTAATTCTTTTTTTAATAGTTAAGCAAGCATTTATAAATTTGTAATGTAAGTTTTAAAGTAGTTAATGTATCTGAATATTTCATGTAGTTCCTGACGAAGAAGAGCGTTAGCTCAAATGAAGTGACTGAATTTTGTTACATCCAAGCCTTAGAATATTTCTTCCATTTGTAAATATATTGTATATCGTACCGTATTCCATTTGGGCCTCTGTGGTCTAATATTTCCATGTAATGTCAACGTATACGTTTCTACAATCGTACTTATTATTATT